TGGAACTTATTTGTGTCTAGGCGCTAAAAGAAAAATGTTATACTCACCCAATCCTAGGAGCCCGCTTGCTCTTACACCGGTCCCTAGAGCCTCTCTCCCCCTCCTCTGCAGCGGTCTAAAGGTTACCATACACTGGTCGAATTTTGGCCGGTTTTTAATGTATCGTCTGAAATTTGCACAGTGTGTGGGGCTCTCGGCTCCCTTTCAGCCGGCATTTCTCAATCAGCTGATCAAAGGAGGCGGCTGGAAAATGTATTATCATTCAGAGCCGGCAGCCAATTAGCTGATCTCTCTGGGTATTCCGACAGGCGGGATTCCTCGATTGACATGCTGTTTCTGAAGGAACATTCTATCTGTGCAGCAGGCGAGACACTCTTCAGTCACCGGAGAAGCAGGAAGTTGGCTCGGCAGTTCAAGTGAGTTTAACTTTTTTTTTTTTTTAAACCTAGACAAAAACGAGCAGTTAACCCTTGCAGTGTGAGGGTAGCCCCACTACTTGCACAAAACATTCTCTTTCCTTAAAGAAAAGTTGTTCTCTATACTGCATTTTGCAGTGGAATGCAAGGGGGGCTGGGCAGGTTAATGTTAATATCATGAAAGAGGCATTTACCCACTGATGTAATGGCTCTTTAAACAGTTACTTTTAGGACATGCCAACTGTCAAGGCAAATGCAATCCAAATAGGATAAGATGGCACCTTCCTTGTCTGTAAGGGATAGGAGGTTGTAGCTACTCTTTAAACCTGTCTGCAATGTGCTGTGGTGGCAAATTTAAATCAGTTGTAAACTAGATTTGAACAATGTCCTAACAAAGGGTTAAAGATCTAGTAACATTGGGGGAAATTTACTAACGTTGTTGCATCATCAGCATCTCTCAAACGATTGTATCCCTTATTACTAGTGCATATAGCGACAGACTTATTATCTTAGTTTATGTTTCATTCTTAAATGCCTTCATATGGAGAATGGTCTCTGAACTGTGGCAAGCTTGCTGGGAACCTCCTGGATGACAGCTGAATAGCCCGAGGCGCTCAGCTGACTTGGGGGTACGAGTCATCTTTGTGATCATTCGATATCAGGAGCATTTCTAGGATGTGCGTCTGTTTGGAGGTCTTTTACTGTCGCAAAAGCTGGGCACAAATACTGCGTAGTTGGAATATTATGCGAAACATGTGCATTAAGACACAAACATTAATATTTATGCAATAATGTGCCGAGCTGAAACAACAAATATAAACAGTGAAAAATACAACAACGATTGTATTTTTCACCGTTTATATTTGATTGTTTTTTCAGCTCGGCACATTATTGCATAAATATTTTGTATTATGCCAGATATAGTTTTAGTGCTTAGCAGCTCTTTTCACCTTTTTTTGTATCATCAGTGGCGCAGATCTTTTTTGTTTATTTGTTTTACAAACATGAATATGTCGCCACAACACTTAAAAAGAGACATATATGAGATAAAACTCTGCGGTTAGTTTGCATGACATTTTGGTCTTTGCAACTAAATTTTTTTATTGCAGCGAACATGTTCATAAATTGCCCCCATTGTATGTTAATGAGGGGAAAGCTCAGTCTGTCCCTAGTCATACTATGGGGACAGCCAGTGTTTCCTGTCGCTTGAAAATTGAGAGAGAAGCTTGCAAAGACCTTCTACACAGACACATCTAAAAAAGGTAAGAATGTCAAAAAAATGCTACGTGAATAGGAACACATAACAAACATATAATATTCAGGCCTAATATGTGCATTTGAATACGTGTGAAACCAGAAAAATGGCTATGGCAGCAAAAGGGTTAAAGGACAACTTCACTTTAAATGAAAAAGGAAAAAAAAAAAAAAGAGAAAAGCAAGACAAACCACTTAAAGTAATAAGAGGCCAGTCCACAGATGATGCCACATGGAAATTCCACATGTGCACATCCGCTGTGCAAGTCCAAATTCAGACCTGACTTTTCGGAGGATGAAATCGACTGAATAGATCACCTTGTACACAGCTGGGCACCTGCGCCTGAAAGCCTTAAAAGTTGGCTTGGAGAAAACACTAAGGGTCTGTTCAGATTGCTCTGCTGCATTACCACATGTTTGTTAACATGCATTGCAGTAAGGCAGCCCACTCACTTTTAATAGGCTGCCAACTGGCCACAACCCCAAAAAAGTTGGGACGCTGTGTAAAATCTACATAAAAACAAAATCCAATGATTTGCAAATCTCATAAACCCATATTTTATTCACAAGAGAAAACATATCACATGTTCCATGTTCCTCAGTTCCCAGACGTTTTCTGAGTGTTGTTAAAAGAAGAGGGGATGCTACGCTGTCGTAAAAATAGCCCTGTCCCAACTTTTATGTGACGTGTTGCTGCCACCAATTTCAAATTGACCTTATTTTTTCCTTAAAATTGAACATTTTCTCAGTTTAAACATTTGATACCTTTTCTATTGTGAATTGATTTTATTGACCATGACATCATCTGTGTGATGCTGACTGGGACTTGTAAGTTGCTATCCCTGAGTGATCCTTTCATAATTTTGTGCAATTCATTTTAAATGCTGCTACACAGAATAAACATTTTTCATTTAAACAGATAAAAGGTTTGCTTAAAAATTGAGGTTTAACCTCCAAACATCTGTTTTTACTGTAATGAAGTAGCAAGTATATATTGAAGAAAAATGTATGCCTTTAACTAGCACGGCAACCTCAGTTTGCCCAGAGTTCCAAGCTGTATTAATTAGACTTCGAAACCTGCATACCACCCATTTTCCCCAGGCCATTTCTGTTTGTACAGAAAATGTAATTTATAGCCATTGCACACACCCCTCTTATGTACTTCACTCAGGAAATCTGACAAGTGCAATTTTAAAAGCATGAATTATTTCCCTGTAAATGAAAAGTACACAAAAAGATAAGAAAACAGGAGTGGATTTATCCACCTAGTCAGTCAAACAGGAGTGGCAGAAACGATGGAACCTTGTTTTGGAGCTTAACCTTAAGTTAAGCTCCAAAACAATCTCTACATTTCAGCTGTGGGCCTATTCATTTAGCGAAAGCATTGTTAATACACAACACCAGACTGATGCATATACTGTTTTGGTGACAAACAAGGCTTTATCTAGAAGTAAAAAATAAAACAAATATGCTTTTTTCAGTTTGAGTAGTAATCATTGTAAACCGACTAATGTTACTATAAAGTAATCATTTTATTTTGCCCCTTATATGATTACATGAAAATTGTGTTACTGGTACAGAATATTTTTGAATGGAATCATAAAAAATGTTTTTAGAATTTTGCAAAAGTGATTTTCTTTTAGGGCTTCAGCTACAAAACAAATTAAAGGAAAAGTATTTGTACAAATAGCACAAAAATGTTTAAAATATTGCTGGAAAAAAACATTAAATGAAGAAAAGGGAGGGGAAAAAAAAAAAGGTCTGATGGACAGCTGCCTTTGCCTTTCACCACACAGCCAAAAGCCGGAGCCAGCCGTGCCCGTCCCTTCCCCAGCCTGACATTCCACTAAGTGTCGGAGGAACAGAGCGGGGTTCAGCAACTGGCAGTTACTGTACACCTCTGCGAGCAGACCAAGAGTTGACTGATCAAATATGATGCAGTCTGTAAGAAGCATTATTATTACCTTCTGATCCTGCCAGTAGATCGGTTATTTTTCCACTTCCTGTACTAGGGTAACACTGTTTTTTTTGCAGTAAAAATCACACAAAAGTGTCATCACCCTTTGATGGATTTGTAGTTTTAAATAGATTATAAATAAGAGACAAACAAATTAAAGCCTAACTCCAGCTAACAAAGGGTTTATGCAATATGAATACAATCTGATCCCTGTAACTGAAAACTTTAGCTGGCCATATTGGCAGATGATGACAACAGGCCAGCATCAACTGGTAAAAAAACTATGTTACAGTGAGACTCCGAAAAAGAAAACCTACTGTGTTCATTCTCTAGATAGACTGAATCATATAATATTATTGTCTTACCCTAAGAATCCTATTCTTGTAGTACATTACAGTACACCGGACCTTAGTCTTATACCATGCCAAATTGTTCATTTTGTCGGCGGGCTTTTGGGGGAACTCTGGCTTTTTTTTTTTCTAAAGTTTTAAATTTTGCGGGGAGAACGGTCTGCTTCGGCTGTGTGTTCAGCTCAGCCAAGGCTAAGCATATGCATTCAGCTTGGCTGAGCTCTTCAGCTGTCGTATGGGCTATTGTGAATAGCCCGTACAGCAGACCCTCGGTCCCGCAGGCAAAGTGAGCCGAAAGATTAGCCGAAGGTTCGGCATAATCCTTTGGCTCGTTAGTGAATAACCCTCTTAGAACCAGAATGGGCCAAAAGCCTCCTTTTGCCTTGGGAATGATGAACAGGTTTGAATAGAACTCCTGAAACGTGGTCTCTTCTGGGACAGGGATTCTAACTCCTTGACAGGAGCTGCTGGAGAGCAGAGTGGAGATTCACTGGGAAGTTAGCAAGTTTGACAGCATTAGGGAGAGACCAAAATTCTAATTTGGAGCCCCTGGATACGACATTCTAGACCCAAGCGTCTGAGATGCCCTAAGACTAGATGGCTGCAAAGGCCTACAAATGTCCCCTCGCTCTGGCAATTGGGGGTACCTACTCACTAAGAGGGGGACTTATGGGCATGGTTCCCACCTGGGCGTATTTCAGTGCGTAGGAACGCACTGAAAAACGCCCTACGCCCAATGAAGTACAGGAGCTTCTTTGGGGTGTATTTTCCACGCGTATCCATTAGGATACAGCTGGATAGCCCTCGTGTGTTTGTTGCGCGTTTCGTTGACCGCAAATCGCTGTCGAAACGCGCTTATTACAAACGCCCATGTGTGAACCCAGCCTTATGGACTTGGCAGGTGTGGAGGTCCAAGTCTTGAGCCAGAGCATGTTTATAAAACATTTGGTGAGGTACTGATGCTGATATCTGATTTGTTAAGCACTAATAATGCATGGATCTTACAGAATTATAAGCAATTACCTTGTTCTCCTCAAGAAACTTTAGTTTGATGGAGACATCACTTCGCATTTTGTCATACTTTTCCTTGTGCGTTTGGAAAAGCTGCTGCGATTGCTCAATTTTCGGCATGGTAATGGCATCACGTGGCCCCAAATTTAGTTCCTCTAAATCTGTACGGTAAGCATCATACTCAACCCTGTTAAAGTTAACAGAAAAAACATTATTTAAAACTTTTTGATTGGAAAATAATCTGTTAAATTTAGAGAATAGCCACTTAAAAGATGTGAAAGCACCAACAACAATCATGTTCATCTTTTTGGTCTATACAGCAATGATGGAACCAGCCTCAGCAAAGCTAGCCTCAAATAGGTAATGCATGTCACATGGAGCACATGACTTTTGCTGCAGAGAACTTTCATGCTTGAAAATGTGCACTAAAAAGGAAAGCTCATTTCACGGTTTATATGCAAAAAGCCACACAAAGTTGAGGCTGAATGCTTTGGTGGTACCAACTACTTAAGAATATACACTGGTTATTTTACAAAATGTCAACGTTCTCTTTATGCACTCTGAAGATGCAGTCTTACAACAAACCCAGATGGATCTTAAACAGAGAAGCAACTAAACAGGTAAAAAAAAATTTAAGATGTATTTGTAAAATTAGTTGGATTAATATATTCTTATATCCTGTTTGACAGAAATCTGACAGCACTCCGATTTAGAAGACATGCTTAGTTTTAGCATGTCTTAAATATTCACACCCAGCTTACAGTTCAATGACAGCATAGAATTGTCAACATTTCTGAAAGAGTGAGTGAAGAAACCAAGGTTTTTCTATCCCTGGCTGTGGCTGCTTCTAAATAGGAAACCTGCTTCAGCAACAAAAATCTTGCAGTCCTATCATATGATTCAAGCTCTTTATGAATAGTTCTCATTTTAGATTGTAAGCCCTCAGGGGCAGGGCCCTCCTTACCATCTTGTCTTGAATTGTATTGTGATTGTAATGTCTTCCTTATATTGGAAAGCGCTGCACAAACTGTTGGCGCTATATAAACTCTGTATAATAATAATAATCTTATAAGATGAAGGGCAAGGTGTGAAATCTATTTTTGATTTATAAAATAGGAATTATAGATGGAACACAATGTTATTTACATCAAACCTAAAATAATGAAACCTTTTGCATACTAATGCATTTGTTGTATAATCTGACAACGTGTTCAATCTGACAACGTGTTCCCTATAGCTAGGTGTTTTCGAGGTTTACTTAATGAAAGCTTCAGAAGAACAGAACAATTCATGAACGGGCATGTGTAATCCTGTAGAAACTACAGCTATAAAATAAATCACCAGTTATAAGCTCCTAATAAAAAATTCACAAATATGCAATTAGACTGTTCTTCCCCAGGAACAATGCCACCAATAACACTGTATATTGTTTGCTGGATTAAACACACATGACCTCACCGATATGGAACACAATAAAAGTACACAGAAAATAAATCATGGGGCTTTACTAACACCTCCAGGTATGAAAACACGTCTCATCCACATATTGCTGGTTTGGTTAACGAAAATGTCTGGACAAGAGGAAGAGCAGCCTTTAAATCTCATGTGAATTGTCAAAGATGTGCAGTAACAATACTGAAGTTCTAAGAGATTGCAGAGTTGTGGAATAGCACAGCTTCAAATACTGGAGTCCTCATTTTGTAATGTTTTTGGTCTTTTTTTCACAGGTGTTACTAAACTCAAAAGAGATAACACTATGCTTTTATTCATAATACAGTCTCTTCGATTACCTGGCTGTTTCATACTGCTTCACAGTAATAAGGGTGTCCTCAATTGTCTTGCTCACTAGTGTATTTATACTCGCTATAAAAAAGTTGATGGCCCCAAGTAGTGTTTCTCCATTCTTGGCAAGAAGCTTCTGAGTATCTGCATTGTATCCAAATTCCTCCTAAAACGTAACAGAAAAACACAACTCAGACAGCAGCAAAACAACTGATATACAGTACTTATACACTCAACCTTGAAAATAAAAAAATTACCTCTACAAAAATATTGTACTCCTATGAGTGCATGAAATAGGCGAAATATTCAGAATGAGTTCATTTTTATTTAATGAGCCTATACTTCTATTTTATTTTCTCCACAAGCGTATGCAAACAAAGCTAACCAGCAAAAGTGACAGGGGTATAAACAAGCTGTAACAGAGTTAGGGGTGCTTAGGCAGTTGAAGCCACAAAGAGACAGTCAGAAAGGCAATGCACTACTAACATCCTGTATTTTCAGTCTAACCTCCCCTTACAACAGGACTGTGCAATCCAATAGAATTCAGTTAGACCTTGTGTTCTCAGTGATCAGCATTCAGTAACAGGCTAGGTCATACTTCTCTTTCTTTGCAAAACAGGTCTATGCAAGAACACTTATGAGGATTAAAGGCTGTTACTCAGCTATGCCAGCATAGAGCACTGGTGTGAGACAGAGGGAAGCAGCATTTTTACTAAGAAAAAAAAGGGTAGTTTAAGGAATTCCAAGCTAAATTGGTCAGTCAATCATAACATGCAGGGGTACAGAACCATAAATAAAAAGTGTAAAAACTACCAATGGGCTTTTAACCTTGTAAATAAAGCTAAAGAACAAATATAAAAACCTTTTTTTTTTCCATTTTGGATAAAGGCGGCTTTTTTTGCCCTCTTTCCTATTGGGGAGATTTCCCTTCACTTCACGTCCTATAGCCACAGCAGGAAGTGAGAGGAAATCCCTGGTGGTCAGCAGGATCATCAGAACTAGTGACCCCATTGGAAGATTTCCCCATCTATTCCTGTTCTGATAACAACCCAAAATTTGCAATTTCCTTTCACTGATAACGGTCACCAGGACGTTATGGGGGTGAATCCCCATAACGGGGACACAGACAGCAATAAAAACCTAACAGGTGTTCTAATCCTTCTCCACTGTATTCAAAACAAAAACAAGTTATGGCTTCAGCTGCAATGTAACAGTTGTCTGCCCCACAGGCAGGGTTATAGCTGGTCCCATCCCCTGTCAGTCAATTTCATTGGACAGCTTAGTCTGCAGGTAAATGTGCAGAAAAATATAAAGACATAAAAAAAAGTTCATACACTAAATACGTAATCCTTTTCAAAAGCAGTTCAATGGATCAGAAGATGGATGTCTCTTGTGTGAGCCTCTGCCTGAAATCTGTTCCATGTAGCATCAGATGTGGAATTGGTTGACCAAGTGGTGCAGCATATCTCAGTGGCCACATACAGCAACTAATGCCTTTTTCCTCCCCCTTACAAAGTTACTATCACTAATGAAAACAAATGGGGCAGTAAAACATTAACATATACAGACTTACAATTTTAACTGTGAACTACCCTTAGAGCAAATCTCTCCAATATTTGCAGGATATGGGCTGAGCTTGCCTACTTAAATGTGAATATCCACCTTTATTTGATTAGAAGAAACAAACAGTGACCATTACTGCAAAATGATACATCACTGTTGCAACATCTCAATGGTCATTAGCGGAAGTGGCATCAAAAACACAATAAGTTCCCAAAACACTTAAAGTGAAACTAAACTCAGGAGTTCAATCTTAAAAACGCATTCAAGTACCTGAGCTAATAATAAAAATGTATCTTATTTGTGTATCACTCAGCTGTAGATCCTCAAATCATCTCTGAAGTCATACTGACACTGTCCGTCCTTCTGGAGGGTGGCTACTTTTGTTCCCCATGGTTCTTGTGTGTTAAAAAGTAGCCATCTCTCCAAGCCCACTCCTGTGATGGACTACAATCTCAATACAAATAAGTAAACTAAACATGAGATTGTAGTCCATCACTGGAGTGAGATTAGATTGGTGGCTACTTTATAACACACAGGGACCATGAGGAACAAAAGTAGCCAACCTCCAGAAGGATCTACAGATGAGTAATACACACAAAAAAAGATACATTTCTGTTAATAGTGTAACAAGGACACTCCACTGAAGACCGGAGGTGCAAGTACAATGCAGTTTATTTGCTTTCAAAACGATAGATAACACGAAATCCAACATAAATAGCTTGCTGTAGCATAACAGATAGGGGCTCACCAATCCTCGAGTTGTCACGTACACTCAAGGTGTCCCAGTCTTTTAACAAGTCTCTCTCGCAGCACTGCTGCTCCGGCCTCAATCTTTAGGGCCACTGTCTGGTTCCTCCAGACAACAGCAATAACATGCCAATCCTCTCAATATGGTTCACAAACCCGCAGCTCCCTGCTGCCCTGGCCTCCACACTGACTCCGGGGTGGAGCTCTCCTGACTCACAGGTGGGGCCCTGAACACATCCCAGCACACACTTCATGAGGGATGTAAACAGGTGCACAATCAGGTGCTGGTCACCACCAAAGCATGGACCCAGGAATGGAGATTTCTTCCCACCCAGAGCTCTAAGAAATCTCCTGGCTCCAGGATCCCAACCTTGATCCAGAAAACCCAGAAAGAACTGAAAAGGCAGTTCTCTCCTGGTACCAGTAATGTCTTCCTGGAGCCACTCAGCCCCTCTGGCTGAGAACCCTGGGTGACTTTGAGGCCACCTAACACCGTGGTATTGCCTCACAATGCCACAATAGTTAAGATACTTGAATGCCAAAGGAAACCTTTGCTTAGAGAAATACGTTGGGTGCCATGAAATCCTCTTGAAAATGTAATTTGTTTGCCTTTCTCTGATCTGCATACTTGTTTTGGGTCAGTATTAAAGCCACTGACGAGGTTTCCTTTAAGAAGCTGGCAGGTAACTTAACAGCTGGCGCAACCTTAGAATTGACAGACAACCTATAAAATTCTTACAAGTTAATAATGCCCCATTTCCTTGGAAATAACATATCAGAGACTACAGAGATCATATTAAATCATTATAAAATGCTTCTGTACAGACTGCCTCTGCACAAAAGAAGCTCCATTTGCCCAGCTAAGGTTATGACAAAATAATTACAATTTCCAGAATTAAAATGCTAACAGTTGCACCTTGGCATTCTAAGATCAGTGTTAATACAGTCATTCTTGAAGTAGAGAAAAACAGTACAAATAGACACAAAGACAGTCTGGAATCAGACCTTCTCCTCCTCCATGTGTAATGCTGCCACATCAAATGCTATTTATCTACATGTTTGAAGGCTAAAAGTGTGCTCATTCTTCATTCCACAAGCATTTCAAATGCCAGGAAGAGACAAAACGTCAACATTGTAGAAAGAAAAAAAGAAAGTTGCTGTTTATTGAACTTCTCAGCATTTGTCCAGAAATAGTACATGAAGCAGTTAGATCATGTACACGCTGAGCTATTTGTTTCACAAAAGCTAGATCACAGACACTGAAGTCATCATGAATGCAGTGATACACAGAACGAGAACAATAACAAGAGGTGGGCTGGCAAGCAATTATACATGATCAAAGTACAGCTCAAATGACATATAAACCATCGTTTGAAGGCTAAGCAAAACAAGTGTGATGTTCCCAAGCTGCAGGTGCAATAGAATGATGAGCCACAAAATCAGTGAAAAGAATTCACTTTACTATGGAAACTTGTGCAAGCCACAGCAAGACACAAATGGAAATATTGGTCAGCATAGCCAGCTAAAAAGTAGACGATGACAACAGTAAACTATGAGGAGGTATCGTCTGTTTATTTTACCACCTTAGTGCCTGAGAAAGTTTTTCCTTTTTAACACGTTAAAATCTCAATTGTTGGATAGAAAATGACACCCCCAAACAATGATATTTTCTGAAAGCAAAGGCCCTGTAGTAGTAAGTAAAATGGCAACAAACTGGTAAACATAGCATATACAAATTTAATGACTAATGCTGCAAATCTTCATTTTAAGGCTTGGTGCATTTTACATTTTTGCAAGAGGTGAACTGATATAAAAAAAAAAAGTGCTTTTTTCCAAATGTTTGTATTGAGGACTGCAAAACAATACAGCTACAATATGTGCATTGTGGGGCCAATGAGCAGGCTTCTTGGATTGTTTACCTCCCTGCCCCAGATCCCTATGCAGGTCAGTTAGGAAGTAATCAAAGTGCGGCACCAGCGACTGTCTGAATACCCAGTGATTGCATATGACTGGATACAGTCAGTGTCTGGTCCAGTTTTCCTCCCAGCTCCTTTCGTGTTTTTTTAAATGCAAGTTTAACAAGCTGGGTGGTGCCTACGTGACGTGCATGACGCTTCCACGCCCCGCCGCCCGCAGTGCGATCGGACGCCTTGCAGAACTTTGCCAGCGTTCCGTTCCACTGCAAACGTAAAAAATAGGGCTTGCAGTGGAACAGAACGCTGGCAAAGTTTTGACACGCGTTCGATCGCACTGCGGGCAAGGAGGCGTGGAAGCGGTGCCATTTAATTCAATGCAGCGCCACGCCCCCTGCCGCTGGGGGAAGTTTCTGATAAGTTAGCCTTGGAATAAACGGCATCAGTCACTCTTCCAGTATACAATCTGTGTATTGGTTTTTTGCAGGGTACGATACGCATCGGTTCACACCTCAGATAGGATGATAGTGTGACAACTTTACATACAACATCCAAAACTTTATATACGCTATTTATGGGCACATATCCAAGGGAGAAGTAGGAGTTTCCCTAACTAACAATAAACGGATTAGTACATGAAGGTTTACATGAGGTTAGCGTCCAGCTGTAACGGTAACCTGACCTGTCACCGGCTATTGATAATTAATGGTTTCTAAGAAATACATATATTGACGTCAAACCATAAATCAGCATCTTGCTGTTTTGGCCTAATTACTGGATATTTGAATAACAAGGGAAGATGAGATAATGTCTGTTCTTGAGACACAAAAACATATTCTTCCAAAAACCAAGCCATGCGTTCATATTCCGTTCCTGGTAGATCTGACTCCATCTTGTATCAAATCATAGCTTCAACTTATCATTTCTCAGCGATCGCCGTGGT